CTTGGGTATATCTAATTCTCAAATGGAAGCCTCAACCCATAAACACCCCTTCCCCATCACAGGTCTCTCACCAGCATCCACATGCCGCCTACTTCTCCTGACGACCAGCTATATGCAACCGGAGAACGACCACTGGACGTACATAGCCCTGAGTCCTCAAATTCAACCGTCACAACGGATGAAGATGGTGGCCGGAAATGAGACAGCCACTTCCAACGACGTTCTCAAAGTCAGAGGCGTTACCGATTTTACAACAGGGACCGTGCGTTTTTTAGAGGAGCTAGAGTTGTCGGACGTGACTTAGTTGAAGCAGGTGCTGGAATCTGGATGGGGCAATTGAGATCGGTGGCAAATGGATGTGAAGGTTCGTCGGAGGTGGCGACCTTGCTGCCAGAGTTGAGAGCAGGGTCGACAATTGAGATCCATGGCTACAACGAGGCGGCGGCAACACGGTGGCTTCCAGCGTGAGGTGCCTGTCGGATGGCGGGCAGCGGCTGTGGACGGCGGGATCTGGCTGTGGCTTTCAGAGGCGACGGGTGGCGCTAGGTTGGTGTTGCCAGCGTGAGGTGCCTGTCCGATGGTGGCGGACGCCAACTGGTGGAGGCAGAGACTCAGCCGCTGTGTGTGTGTGTGTATCTGCTTCTGTATGTGTGTGTGTTTTATGTACGTGTGTGTGTGTTTTATGTATATGTGTTTGAGGTTGCTGAAGTGTGTGGGGGTGTGTGTGCGTGTGTTATATGAGGTAAGCTGTGTTAACCCCTATTTTTTTTACACTGATTTTCACTTGCAAATGAGGTAAATTGTGTTATTCCCTTTTTTTTTACATTGATTTTCACTCACAAATGGATCTCTTGATGTTTTAGTGTTTGAGTTATTTTAGGACTTAGATAATTAAACCCTCTTCACATGTGTTGCATTAAACCAATGTAATGGGTTGATTAGTATGGTAGAATAAATAAAGTGATAATAAATGTAAGTTAGGGTTTAATTTCATTCAGTAAACATTCCAGGTAAAAGCTCGAACGTGGTTTAAACGTCTGCTAGCTAAACTTACGTAAGGCGTAAATGTTTTATTGTCAAGCTACCTGACCTATAAAACGTCTAACTTGAAAGCCCGCCTGTGAAGAGAAATGTCCAGTTTGTAAGGGGCAACACTTAAAAAACGTAAATACTAAAAGCTTGGAAGCCTATGAAACGTCTAAACCTGAAGCTTATATGCAGTTAAAACGTCTAGTTAGTAAGTGGGAACACTTAAGAAACGTAAATATTGAAAGCTTGGAAGCCTCGAGACGTCTAAACCTATAGCTTATATGCATTTCAAACGTCCAGTTTGTAAGGGGAAACACTTAAGAAACGTAAATACTGAAAGCTTTGAAGCCTCTAAAACGTCTAAACCTAAAGCTTATATGCAGTTCAAACGTCTGATACAAAAGCTTGTTTTACTGCAACTGAATCGTATAGTTTTCTTTGTTTATCACCTATATGATATATGATTATTATATAGTTACTTTTTATGAAATGTGATAGTAAAATTGTGTAATTCAACTATTTACAAGATGAATTTGAAGATTTTTGTAGCGCCCCGTTTATTTATGAATAATTCTGGGACTATTTATTATTATTATTATTTATTTTATGGTTGCTATTATTATTATTATTATTATTTATTTGATTGTCAAATTGTTATTATTTGCCTAATTGTCTATTAGTACTATTAATTAAATAATGTGGGTAATAATAGCCGGTTTTATTTTAAATTGTCGAGCAAAACAAAATTAATATAATTCTCGGCTAAGTCGAGCCGAGAGCCGAACAATATATCGAGCCCGATAGAATCGCACGCCCGGCCCGAGTCTTAGAACTCACGCGCATGAACCGGCCCAAAAATCTTGTGAACCCGCGAGCCCCGTCAGCAAGCCGGTCAAGCCCGAACCGCGCATCAGCCCCGCCCAACCGGTCGCACCCCGACCCGGTTTTTCCTATGCCGAGTGTGTGCGTATTTCTTAAGATGAAATAAAAGAAAACCTAACCTATATATCATTATCTCTCTCTCGCTCGACATACATCACCCCGCAGCCAAAACCCTCCCTCTCAAAAATCTGAATCTCTCTCTCGACAAACGCCCTCGGCTCTCATCTCTCTTTCTCTCTTGTTTCATCACGTCACAGCCCACCATCTCTCTCTCGCAACGCCATCATCATCCTCGCGAGGTTGCCGTCCCTCATCGCTGCCTCCTCGTCCGCGACCAGCAGCAACTCGCGGCGTCTCCATACCGTCGAGCATCATCACAGCGACATCATCCCTTGCAAGTCCATGAGCCGCCGTCCTCAGTCACGCGTAGAACGCCGCGACCGTCCACCGCGCGATCCCAGCCCCACCGTCGCGCACGTCCGCCGAGAAGCAGCCTCCAAGCCTTCTTTTCTCGTTCTTTTTCCGAGCCTATCTCGAGAGCGGCATTCTTTCAATCCCGAACTGAATTTATATTGTTGCTCAATATTATCAAATCAAAATATATAATAATTCAAGTGAAAATCATAAGATTTTATTATCCTATCGTGTTTAATAAGACCGAGTTGGACCTCAGACAACGTGTTTTACGATGTATCGAATGTTTAAGTCTTAAAGTATTGATATCGAGGCTTTCTTAACATGTAATTTACGTGATTTCGAGGCTATGTTGTTATACTAACGTTTTGAGTTGTTAAAGGCATGAAAACCCAAATTTCGAGCCTCAGTTGTGCTCTGTTTTTGTCGATCAAGAAGCTGTTTCTTGGACAAGTGCTCTTCTTGAGTTTTGTAGTGCTTTGAGTTAGTTTTCAGTGGCCTTTGGAATCTTGTGATTTGGTTTTGAAATGGATTTTATATGAATTTTCAAAGGCAGACAGGCATGCAGTTTTTATAAACTTGGGTAGAGACTTTGACCTTAATTCATGGCTGTTTTTTATGATCTTAACGTGCCTACATAAAAATGTATTCTTCATGAAAAATGTAGTATATGTTGTAAGCTGTCTGTAAGAATTATAATCATACAATTTGGAGTTCCAGTTGATTTTATATAATTTTTCTAAGGAGGATGTACACCCAGTTTTTATGAAACTAGGATTGTGTTTAAGTGTTGAATGTGTGCTCTGTTTGGATGACCCAAACGTGTTCGTATGAAAACGTTCTCTTCATAACAATTAAATATTTCCATGTGAAGATTCTGTAGGTTTTGAGTTTATATGAATTGTAGTTGTGTATCTTGAGTTGTTGTCATTTTACTAAGGTGCTGTATATTCGAAAAGTTGTTCTCTGGCTGTTTTTATGAACTGAATGTTTTATATTTAACCTCATTGATAATGTCATTAAATACCAATGGGGTATTCAGAAAAGTTGTAGAGAATTGAGTTAGCTACCTTGGAGTTTTTGAATTTCAGTAATATCATGTCTGTAGCTTCGGTTATTTTGCATACACTGAGGACCTGTCAAGCTGTATGTCTTCATTTATCCACTGCACCTATGTTTTGGATGTTTTCTGTATTATGTGTATTTAAATGATTTTATCTGCCTGAGTGTTCTTCTTGAAAGTGATAGAGGCATGGGTTAGGGATATGTTCCAAGTGGTTTCATCATGATATGATTTTTATACTGAAAGCTACATGCATTTGAAATTCATCGCGCATGCTGAAAATTGGTGTAAGTTCATATTTAGGTTTCTAAATCGAGTTGTATTGTTTAAAAGCAATTTTGTGTGGCATAATTGAACCATGTCATGCTATGTGATGTTTATATGATTCTTCAATGTCCTAAGCGTTAAAAGTGAAGAAAGCCAAGATATCCACCAACCTAAAAGACTTATACATAAAACGTTTTCAAAGCAAGGCGAGCAAGGCAAAGTCAAGCGAGCTAGTTTTCAAAGCTTATGTATATGTATAAGACTAGTGAGTTTAAGTTAAGCCTTGATAAGATTATAAGGCGTGTCCCAACGAATGTATGTAATTGAGGAGTCAAGCCTCGACCTACGTACCTTCTATTTTGCTCTTGTCAATCCGGAATCCAGGTGGGTTAGTTATTCTAAAATATCTATGCATATGTTTTTTATATGTGTTTAACCGGTATGATCTATGTATGCATGTGAGCATGTAGCCTATCGATGTGAGCTTGATTGCCATCGGTACGGTTGTTCCCGTCGATGTAATACGGTTACCCTTACGAGGTAAATCTCCTTAAGACCTATGAGAAGGCCGTGTCATTGATGTGGCACGCACTCCCATGTCATTGATGTGGCATGGCTAAGCTTAGATGTGCACATGAGTGAGTCTTTGATGAGACTAGAGTCATTGATGAGACTAGAGATGAGACATGATGATATTATTGTTCATGTTCCTGCTGCGACCATACCAATCTAACATATTCTGAGTTGTTCATATGCATAGTGTGGGTACAATATTTTCCAACTGTACTCACTCCCACCTGCTCTTCACGGATGCAGGTTAAGCAGTTGGCGGGTGACGAGGCAAGGCGAGTGGGTGGTCTTCTCATTTATGATTATTATTATGCTTCCGTTTATTTTGACTGTTTTATGACTTAGTTATATTTTCCTGCTTGATTCGGGATGTTTGACTGCGTCGTTTGAAACCTTGGATTATGATTTACTTTCATGATTTTGGAGTTTATTGAATGCAAGTGAAGTTTTATAACTAGTAATCATGCATGTACCGATTTTATCTGATGTGTTTGTATTTTTGGTTATTAGTTCTTGGTAGTTAAGTAGCACCCATTGAATTTAAAATTTAATTTGAGATTTGCGAAAAATTAACTCTGATTTTTATAAAATTCGATAAATTCTTTAAAACAAAGTGGGGCGTTACAGTTTGGTATCAGAGCCAGTCTACGCTACTGTAGACTGGCTTATATGTGATTATCGTCACGCCGCACTGAATAATGACGAAAAGTTAGTATACCAAAAAAGGACTTTAGACAAGTAAATGGACAAAAATTAAATTTTTGCCTAAGACACAGCCTACACGAAGGAAATCAAATTCTTAGCGGCCTGCTAAATTCAACTCCTCGCGTCCCCATTCAATACGAACGACCAACCTCTGAAGGCTGATTCTCAATTCTCAGGTTAGTTCGTCATTTTCTCTCCCTTTTTTTTTTTTCGCCCTTTTTGCTTTATCTAGTATTTAGGATTTCGATATCATTAGTTAGAACCTAGATGGAATTGAAGATCAATTGAGCTGTATTTTGTTAACCGTTGATTATTTGTTTTGGAAGAGTGAATACTCAGATTACTTTTATCGTTAATTATATTTTGGCAACATGTTCGCTTTAGTGAAATCTTTAGTTGTTGCTACCAAGTGCACAGAAGTTTCAAGGGCCAATTAGTTTAGTTATTTCCATCGTTGCCCAGACTCGTTGCTTGTTCTTTAGTTTGTTTCATGTCACTTGTAGTCTGCATTTTGGTTTTGCTGCTGAAGAGGGGGTTTTATTTGCCTTTACTTATAATTGCTTTTAATTTTCTCATTTTTTATTAGTTATATATTGCCTGCCTGGTTGTAAGTATTTTTATCTCTCTGTAAGAAGTTGGTGCTTCGTAGTAATGTGATGATTTACTTTTTTAATATCTGATTACTGCAGGAACTGTAGGAGTAAGAAATGAGTCAAAGAAATTCTGTAAATGGGAGGCCAATTGGAACAGATGGTTCCGATTTCTCATACCGTATGGTCGTCGATTCCAGTACGATTAAATCTGCGAATTGCTTATAGCCTAGTTCTATTTTATTTACAATTAAATCTGCGAATTGCTTTTGTTTTAATTTATGGCTTCCTATATTGATGTTTAATTTGAAGGGTACAAAAAGGTGACTGAAGGAAAACGCCGTCTAGGCAACCTGATCTTATCCCAGGTATTCCAGGGAAATATGCTTTAGTTGGTTGAGTATTATTTCTCTGGATGTGATTTTTAGAGAGGTGCTGTGGGAAATAATAAGGAATGTCTAGAACATATTCTGTAAAGGAAAGTGAAGTAATGCTCCATATTAGCTTTTCCTCATTTTCTTTCTTAGTGGATTTTACAAAGCACTCTATGATTTTAGCTGTTGAAATACAAGTTGTATATAAATTAAATAAATTCAGTACAGAGTATTTCTTCTATTGTGTGCTATGCGTGAATATTTGCAGGGATTTATTCAATTTGGAGCTGCAGTAGTTCATTTTCTACCCACATTGGAAGGGGGAAGTCTTGATAGACTTTCGGTTTCCTCTAGCATAATTTTCTTTCTTTCTCTTTTAATAGGAGAATTGGGTAAGTTGGAACATCCTCTTTGTTCAATTAGTAATGTTGAGCTGATGATGATATGTGTCTTGACTTGACACTCTATCTCATATTTGCTATTTGAAGGTCGGAAACGCAGCCGTGTTAACCTTTTGAAGCTGTATTTGTTTGGATCATTCGTTGCTGCTCTTTTATCAATTGCTTTTCTCCTTAGTAATGAGAAAACTTTCGAGGTATAATCGTTCTCTTTCAGAGCAATTTAAGTTCTCAGATTTAAAATCTTACTCTAAACTAGAGGAATTGGAGATGCATACTAGTTGCACATCCTTTGTCTGGATTTAATGTTTATTGTCGACAAGGATATTCTCAATGAGCAAAGTTGTAGTTTCTCTTCCTAATGTTGCACAAAATAATACTCCCTCTATCCAAAAATAATTGACGTTTTAGAAAGTTTCACAATGAATATGAAACCTCTAAGTGATTTATATGTCCTTATGTGAGCCTAGTAATAAATGTTCTTGCGCTTCTCATGCACGTAGTATGTCAGTTGAAGATGAGTTAATTAGAGCAATCTAGGAAGAAAATGAGAAACTGTTGAGATTGGATATAAAAAAATTTACTATTGGCTGGTTAGTCAAGATTTCATTGAATTGTAAATGGAACCGAAATATTATCATCTAACTTAATGTTCATTCATTTCCATTTTTCTCTGCAACTGCAAAAACAAAATTAAAAAAATTCAAAACATTATTATATGTCTTCCTACAAAGAAAACTTTTCAATCACTCCATAGTAACTGATAATGGGACGAGGCTATAAAGATGATTTGGGTTTGATTTTTTGGTTTGATAGACAAATCAACCAAATCACAGTTATTCGATCACTTGGTACTAACTGATCTGGGTCAAACCCAAATCACCGTTATGCTTGGTAATTCCTACCTAGCATTATCAATTATTACGCTTTCATTATTTTATATCACATCATTTCTAATCATTACATTTGTATATTATACCATTTAACTATTTCATTTTTATTCATTATTCCTTAATACAACTGTTTCTATTTTTTCATCTCAATTTTTCGACTAGACAAATTTTTTCGAAACATTTCTACATCCAATCCCAACTACCTTCAGAATTTCCATAACGACAAATAATTTGCGACAGTAGTATAAGTATTGGATTATTGAGATGGTTGTTGGTTAAACTTAAAAACCAACATATGTTGGTTGATTCTAAAACATATATAAGTTGAGGATGCATGCCCTTGGCAATGTTAGCATCCAGGTCTTTAAAAAGAAAAGATCTTATGTAAAGGTGAACCGTATTCGCTAGGTGGATCAATGTACTCCTTTTCCTGTTATTATGCATCCTTGTGAAGCTTTTCCAGATGTTCCAGGTGCTCTAATTGATAGTTTTCTAGGACTTTGTCCACTTACTTCACCGGAACTGTAAAAGCAAAACAATTTGATTGCTTGAAGGCCTGTGAACGTATATTATGTGTTCGTGGTTGATATCACTATTTACCGCTTCTTCGATTGTTCTGGTTTTAACATTTGATTCCTCTTCAAGCATGCATGCATGCATACTGGAAGAAAAGTTCTGGCTTAAGAAGTGACCTTGTCCATTGTGTCCTTTCTTTCTCTCTTATTTATTTGCCTCGCGCAAAACAAGAGTTGCTTTCTTTGAAATATTAAAATTGGTCTCACGAATTATCACATCAACACCTAATTTGGAAAGAACAAGGAAAAGAAAAATTCGAAAGAGTGATTTCCTGAGTAATTCCGCTGCTAGCCCTTTCTTCAAGTTATTAAAATCATGCTCGATACCAGTTATCGTACAGGAAGTGTAAGAAGAGTCTTATTGTCGTTTCATAGACAGACTTGGTGCTAAATGTGAACGTTGATGCATTCATATTATTTATTGTTGAGGTCGAACAAATTTGAATTTCATGATTGCACTTATCCTCGTGTGGCTCCACATGATTATCATCATTATCACTTGAACGCTGAATAGTTAATATATGAGACTGTCAAACATATTGATTCTCATCAGCTGTTACTCTATGTCAAACTTGTGTGATCAGATTATCAAAGATTTGACTAGGTGGGAGGCATCAAGGTCTGATATCTACAACATTACTCCCGTTTTAGCAGGTGAATAAATCTTTGTTATCCTAAGGTAGCTTAGCTCTAACGAAATGAGCAAAGATTAAATAAATTGTTTGTTGTTTTTCTTCACCATCTATCTAGCAGGTCTCCTGGTTCAGATATTTGCTCTTGGAGAGACGATCTCTCTCATCCAAAATATGGCTCCTCCCAAGAAGGCATCTTGATGCTTCTTTATTTATATATATAATGAAATAGAGTTAAAATGACGTTCCTGGTTTCGCGACATTTATATGGTGGTCTCGCATAATTAATAATAACCAATTTCTCTCTCACCTTTCATTATAGACTGGTTGCGTTTTCTACAAGATAATTTTGGAGAATGAGTGTAGTTTCATGTACTTGCCTTTCGATTGTTAATCAAGAAATACTTTCATTTGTACTGAATTTTGGAATATGAGTGTAGTTTTATGTACTTGCCTTGTGATTGTGAATCAAGAAATACTTGCATTTGTACTGCAACGACCTTAAAACGCTGCTAAAAAGTGTCAGATTGTTGGGCCTCAAGTTCAATTGCATTCTCGGCTGTGTATGAAGACCATATGTTGCCAAAATTTCATCTTTATAATACCTAATTTGGTGCACATCTGTTTTAATACAATAACTTACCAAGAATATTAAAAATGGTACATTATCACGAGGGACAGGATAAAGGATACATTATCACGGGTTGGAAGCATGTTGATCGTGGGCCTAAACTTTGGTTTATGCATAGAAATTCTGGATGTAAATAAGTAGAGAAAAGATTAGAGATAATTACTCCCTAGACGAGCGTTATTTTTGTTATGTACGTAATACGAGCACAAGTTTTTAATTCCTAATTGATATAATTTGTTCCAGTAAAACGAAGTTAAACACTTTTATATTCCACAAACATATTTTTATATAGCACAAATTAAACCCTCCCTCTCTCTTATCTCTTCAATGTTTCCTTTTCTTCTTTCTTCTAATTGATCGGCGTCGAACCCTCCCCCTCTCTCTCTCTCTCTCCCTCTCTCTCTCTCTCTTATATCTCTAATGTTTCCTTTTCTTCTTCCTTTCAACTGATCGGCGTCGGCATCACACACAAAAATACAACGATCGCCAGAAATAAAAAAAAAAATCAGAACAATTCTTCTTTTAATTTTTGATTCTCGCGACGACAGACCTCGCCTCTTGAAAACAATTGACGATAGGCGGCGGCGGCGACGGGAATTTGGGGATCGACAACACGACATGACTTCATCATCCAACAGTATATAATGAGGTGGCGATTGGAGCCGCGAGTCGACTATCAGGCGTTTTCCTGCGATTGTAGGTCCGACACTATGCCCGACGATGAACAATGAAGGAACCGATGTGGATCTGGAAAAACGGCGGCTCATGAGCCAATTACATCAGTGTTGTTCGATTTGCTTATGGATTATGAGTTGTTTATTGTACGCATAATTTTATAGCAGCACATGTTTTGATAATATGGTGAAAAAATCTTGGATGAATTTTTAGTATTTTCTTGGATGAATTTATAGCAGCACATTGTGTATGAAATAAAGATTTGAATGAACTTCTTTTTGTAATGAAATATCAGTAGTTTATTTACAGTTTACGAATGATATATATTGTTTTTTTTTTCAAAAGTGCCTATGTGAGCTATGTGATTTTGTTTGGTGAAATGGGACCTTGATAGGATTGAAGAAAGCATTTAGATATTGATTGTTGAAGAAAGCATTTAGATATTGATTGATTAATAAGTTGGTTTATTGATAGTTTATTTGAGATTTATTTATTTTATTAATGATAGTTTATTTGAAGAATATATGTATTTTTTTATTGTAGAACATTATTTCTCTACTCTGATATTTTTTATTAATAAGTTTATTTATTGATAGTTTATTTCAAGTTTATTTATTTTATTAACGATAGTTTATTTGAGGAATATAAGTATTTTTTGTTTTAGAACATTATTTCTCTAGTCTGATATTTTTTATTAATAAGTTGGTTTATTGATTGTTTATTTATTTTATTAATGATAGTTTATTTGAGGAATATAAGTAATTTTTTTATTCAGTTTATATTTAGTTTATTTTTGTATTTGTCTTTTTTTGTCTATTTATGGTTTATATTCAGTTTATTTATCGTGTTCTTATTTATAATTTATATTCAGTTTATATTTTGCATGTCTTTTTTTTGTCTATTTAATTTTTTATGATTAAGTAAAAAATTTAGATAATAAACATAAGATTAACCAAAAATTCAAATTAAACACGAACTTTTTTTTTTTTCTATGGTTTCAATTAATTTTGGAAGCACCAAATATCACACATTGATTAATAGAGAGAGTGATTTCTACGGTTTCAGTTAATTTTGGAAGTATAAAAATCACGATTGATTAATAAAATAAGTAACCATAACGGTGGTTACTATCTATTGTGGAGTATCCCATAAATGTGGAATTGAAGATCAAATATGTTAGTTTGTGGAATTCCAAACTTTTATTCGTGTAAAACATAGAAAATGTACCCGTACATGTGTACTTTGGCCAAAAAATTATGAGTTCAAATTTTGTAGGTATGACCACCTTGACGAGATGAATTCAGAGGTGGTCAATGATGCCAAAATTTGGTCGGACGAAGATTAACTCAAATTACTTTGATAGAAATTAAGTAGGCAAAGGAATTTTGATTGGACTGAAATCAAATTACTTTGAGATAATTACCTGCTGTACGGGGCCCTAGAAGTTTTCTTCTTTATTTACGATTAACAAAACTTAATACCAAATTTGACTTTTTGTTTACCATAGAACGAGACAAACTTTTCACTAGGTCAACTTTGAAATTGTTTTAGATTGATTGAGTTCCTTCATTTTTCCTATGGCGTCTCTGCAACTACCACTCTCTCTCCTCATATTTTCTCTCTCCATACTCTCCACCGTCTCCCAGCCATACTAGCCGCTGCCTACGCCTCAGTCCATCATCGACGCCGCCGAAACCCTGGCCAGCTCGGGGTACACCGCCATGTCCCTCACCCTCTAGCTCATCGCCCCCGTCCTGCCCCTCCCCGCCGGACTCCTCCTTCTCCGCCTACGGTAAGCCGTCTCTCACCCACCTCCTCCTTCACTTTTTCCCTCCCTCTCTCTCCCTGTCATCCCTCCTCTCCCTGCCCTTCGCCTCCACAGTCCCGTCCCTCTCCCCCGCCAGCCACCTTGTCGTGACCTCCGGCCAGCCCGTACAAATATCCATCAACAAACGCAATTGACAGTTTCTTCAACTTGAATTTCACCCTAGCAGATGCAGATCTGGCCAACCAGAACCCTAGATTCGATTCCCAGTGCCTGAAGTTGGAATCGTCCTCTAGATTTGGGGACGCGTTGGAGTTCTGAAATGAAGAGGCTACTCGAACTGCAACTCATTGTTTGAAGGCGGAGCTATAGTGATGCATAATCGAAAGAAAAAAAAAGGTTGGCCCTAATGTTGAATACAACGGAAGTACAAGACTTGTGCAGAAGAAAATCGATTTCGGAAATCTCCGGGTCCGTTGTTGGCGAATTATCGAAATCTTTATTAGCTCCTCCCATTTAACTAGCCTCGGGATTATTTGTTTTGGTTTAATGATTTTGTGTGGTCAAGATACACTCTTGAAACGATTTTGATTCCATTAGTCCTATCTGTTTTTTTTTTTTTTTTTTTTTTGTGTTTATGTCTAGAAAAAAAATAAAGTAGCTTTTTTAGTGTTTATTCGATGTTTATTTGATGTTTATCTATGATTTTTTGAAGATGAGAGCTTGAATAATATGTGGAAGTTTTTTATAAAGTAGATTTTGGAGTTTTAATTGATCTATGATTTCATTACGGGTGTTCATTTCTGGGAAAAAAATTTATAGTTTTTTGAGTGCTAATTCGATGTTTATCTGATGTTTATTTATAGTTTTTTGAGTGTTAATTTGATGTTTATCTGATGTTTATTTATAGTTTTTTTAGTGTTAATTCGATGTTTATTTATAGTTTTTTGAGTGTTAATTCGATGTTTATCTATTATTTCTTGAAGCTGGGAGCTTGAATAATATCTGGAAGGTTTTTTATTAAGTAGCTTTTTGAGTGTTAATTGATGTTTATCTATGATTTTATTATATTTATCAATAGTTTGTATTCTGAAAATAATATATATATATATATATATAAATTTACATTTTGTGTGTATAAAAGTATTAATTTTATAACTATAATAAACTAAAAATAAACCCTATATATTTTTTTTTCTTGTATAACAAATTGATTTTTTCTAGTATAATAAACTAAAAATAAACTATATATAAATTTAAATTTACATCCTGTATTCTCCATTTTCAAACGTTTTTTTTGGGTTTTTTTATTTTTTTTTTTGTGGCAATCTTTCCTTTTTTTTACATAAATCGGGCATCAATTACAGAAGGATTAATGCGGTAACAGAGGATTAATATACATGCCTTTTATATCACCATTTGCATTTTTTGAGAATATAAAATCACAGGAATTAATACAAGTGTAATGAAAAAACTTGTGTCGCATATGTGGTAGTAGGGAAAACATAAGTCGTAGTTGCGTACATTAGCCAATTACTTTGGACAAAAAATTAAACAGACAAACAAATTTCGATTGGGTTGAATTTGTATATATATCGACTTAATGAAATTAATCCAACCGTGATTATGGATTTCAACACCACCAGAATGATCCTCTAATAAATAATAACAAATTTAAACTCAAAATTATTTTTAATAGAAAATAAGTGGGTTAAATGAACTCAAATTGGGTTAAAACATAGCATATACCGTCTAAAAAAAATCCAATGTTGTGTCAGTTAACTGAAATGGATGTGGGACAACGTTAGAATAAGGATGGAAAGAGAACGATAAAATTTATTTTGGATAAAAAATTTAGCAGATAAATGCACTCATTTTGACAATTTGTGGATACGATCATCTCAAAGAAAACAAATTAATAGTGCATCACCGACATGAAATGGTGAATGTTATCCCTCTCCTTAACATTAATGTATTTTATGTTTTTATAATTAAGTGTATCAAATTTTATTTGCGCTATATTAATTTTCTTTTTCTAGAAAGGGGCAAAACTAACATATCAAAAATGAATTTTTGGCCATATGTTCATGTTAGTTTTTCTATGCAACCATCGAATAACACGACTTATGGAACCATCCATAATTATTCACAAATATTTTTGAAACTTATATTTGTCACGGAGTGCGCGAATAGTTGTAAGAACTATAATAAGAATTGTAAAAATGCGGAAGCAAACAACCGAAGATTAATAAACTCTTCAGGGAAGCATCCCACTTCCCCTCAGAGCTCTTTCATTGATAGATCACTCATATACATAGTTTGGACTTACAAAAACTCGAACTCCCTTCAAATCTAGCCAACACTACTTGATCCTATCAACTAATTCTCCGGCCACGTCCCGTGGACTTATAAAACCTACACTTACTCCCTAAGTGTATAAACCGTAAAATAGTTTTGATGAACGAATAAAGAACTAATCGAAAACAGTACCAGTCTTTGAGTTTGTAAGAACTCTCAGACTGAACTGAATACAACCAAAATAGAACTGAAGCAAAATGAAGCTCGAATGGCTCTCGAATATTTCTCTGTAAAATCTACAGCCGCCATAAGCTTCTTCTAGGGTATATATATGATCTCCTTAGGGTTGGAGTCTTCTACAAGGCATAGGTCTTCATTCAAGATTTCCTTCCAAGATAATAGGATAACTTTGGCAAGGAATCTTTTATTCTCTCTCATTGATCTCCTCTCCAAGCATATCTCTTTTCTCCCTCTTCTTTATCTCTCCTCGTGCAATTTCCTATCATATAAAAACCATAATAAGATCTACACGGATTTATATAAGGAATATAAAATAATATTACTTAAGGAAACATAATATACAAAGATCTTCCCTTTTATTCTGTGGTTCCAGGTGCTTGTTCGAACTAACGAACTAATGCCAAAATAAAATATCTTTCAATCTCCCCCTTTGGCATCTAGTTCGAAAACATCAGACTTGAAAGTCTCCTACAGCAATAAAAGCAACAAGCAACCACAGATAAAATCAAGTAAAGATTAGTTCAATACATCACAAGTTCTCCTTAAAGCAGTTCTCCCCCTTAGTTCCTGCAGTCAGCAAAATTCAACAGAATGCTTCTAAATTCATTTCAACCATAGACAGTAAGGACAACAAAACAACTTCATTAATCCCATAAAACAAACTTAGTAACAAACAGCAAATAACCAACCACATAACAAGTTTCCCTACAACCCTCAAAACACATAAAGAAACAAGAACTACTCCAAGCTAACTACTCCTCATCTCCAAGCTTTTCAGTGGCATCATCAGACTCTTCATCCTCCTTCTCAACGCTCTTACTAGCAGCAGAAACCTTCTCCCCCTTTTTCGAACTACGGGATGCCGAAGGGCCTGTCCCCGAGTTCCGAGCTGATCCCTTGACAGCCTGCAGCACTTGGCGAAGATAACTCTGTTGAGCAGCAACCTTCTTGGCCAAATCATCCCATTCTCCAAGTTGCTGAGCCACAAACTCACCCCAATGTTTTGGGACCAAGGAAGGAGCGAGTTCCTTCGTGACCTTGGAAATCCCCTTTTCATTCAAAGTACGAGCACTAACAGAGAGTGCTTTCCTGGGATTCTCAAGAGAATCTTGGAAGCGAAGGTTAACAGAGAAATTATGAGCAGACAAGAAGGACCAAATGAGACAGGGGAAGGGAAGAGTTTTGCGGGACTCATTGTTAGCAACAAAGGATTGAAGAATGTGAAAGACAAGATCCCCAAAGCTAAAAACTTTCCCAATCATGACCCAATAAATGACTTTACATTGCAGCTCGGTAAGCAGGGTTTTATTTGAAGTAGGGGTCCAGTTGCCAGCACCAATTTTGTGCAACAAATTAGCAACTAAGCAAAGAGAATTCACAGACAGGTTTGAACCAGGCCAAGTATCCAACTGACCAGAAGTGAGAACTTTGGTCATTTCATCCGAGTCAAGATCAACAAGAGAAGAGCTATCAAGATCAGAGGGCAAACCAAGATGGGCATTAAACAAAGCAGGAGACACATCAATCACACGGTTGCGAAGAAAAAGTTTATGAAAACGAGGGCTATCAGAGTCAAAAACAGCAGGAGTGAGGTTAGCATAGAATTCTTTGACAGCTTGGCCACAAAAGGGCTTAACATCAGACACGGTCTTTGAAAGACCCACTTGCTCAATCAGACGAAGAACACCGAGTTCAGCAAACTTACCATCAGTCACAGGATGTTCCGACCAGAACTCATAAGACCCGAAATTCACAAAGCGTTCGTGAGCCGCTTCTGTATAAAACCGATTGGTGAAGGTATTCTCCAGGTCATATGCATCATCTTCAGGTTCAGGAGGGACAAGGGGCTCGTCGATGGCCTTCCCACGACGGCGGGTGGAACGACGAACTGGAACCTTCGAAGGTGGTGATGGCTGGTCAGAATGGACTTCAACGGTGGTAGCCGCCGTATCATCTTTTTCGCCTTCGGTTAGTAGTCGTCTTGGTGACCGACTTAGTTGCAGAAGTTGGAACAGCAGACGACTCCCCCTGAGTTGGGACGGCGAGTGAGTCAACAAGTCCAGAAAGTCCTGGAACTCCAGTGGCCAGCGGTGAGATTTCAAGATTCTTGCGGACATTGTCAGACTTCGACTGAGAACCAGACGGAGAAGAGGCTAGAGAACCCGATTTTGACGAAGGCGAAGATCTAGGAGACGGTTCTTTTGCTGGTGGCGAAGGTTCACGTGCAGATCCAGTGGACAAGGAAAGTCGGCGGCGCTTAAGACGCTTCTCTTTCTGCTTCTGGAGTCGTCTCTTAGCTTTGTCTTTGCCGCCAGCCATGGGAGAAGAACGAGGATTGAGAGAGGGGAATTTAGGGTTTCAATCGGTGTAGGTGACCAAAGGAGAGAGAGAGAGAGAGAAAAGTGAAAGTGAGAGAAAGGAAAGAAAATATATTGAAATAAAAAGTAGGGAAGAGACGTGTGTTATGTTCAGTTGAGAGACGTTGGATTATGAAAAACCGCAAAAGGTAAGTTCCGAAATTCAAGATGGTAATGTGGGCGGTTTTAGGAGAGAGAGAGAATAATTAGTGAAACTAATCCCTCCAATAAATCAAAATTCAAACATACCATAACTTCCCACATCAATAACGGCTCGCATTATTTTGAAATTTAGGAAGGAAATCAGATTTTATCCATGAATACGTCCTGCACAAACACTTGGATCACGTTCAAAAAGGAAATCATATGCAAGAATGCCTAAGAATGAAAAGGAATAAAAATCACACACAAAGTGCACTAAAATCATAAGATCTTTTCTTTTCCAACTTAGACAAGAGCGACGGCAACAATCAGAGACCAACTATGAGATTCATATATTCTGAGGAACATAGGTTAAACGGATATATGTATATACACAGAGTAGTGCGAACCACAACTTCCAATATTTTTTTTTTCGAAAGAACACATGCGTTATTATTCATAGTGCATTTCACTTAGTAA